AAAAATCTCAGTAGTCGCACGGAGTCTGGAATCGTGCCCGGTATATGGCAATAGACTCACCCCCTATTACATGGGACTCATAACATAAATAGTGAAAAGTGGGTGTTACATTGTACACTGGCATTAAGTGCCGTAATGTACAACTCTACCTATCCCTTCGGGGATAAAAGCCGTGATGTTATGATGATGATGACAGGTCAAACTGAGAACCTTCTTCTTTTTCTGAAGTCGGTTAAAAAGAACAATAGTAAATATTTATTTATTGTTTGTATACAGGTTGCTTCTTTAAAAAAGTGGCGTTAGAGCGGATTGATTTGTAATCATCTTAATAGAACTTGACCTTTACATTATTTGTATGAAAAGTTGGTCAGTCTTGTTTTAAAACATATCCAAAGTGTTTTTTTCCTTATTTACCAGCATAAAATATAGACGTAGACAGTTACTGGGAGGACTGATAACAAAAAGATCTACGAAATTTAATTCGTGATCAGATCTTACAGATATGTATAAAAGTCATAAGTTATAATCTCACTTACAGCCCACCCAGTTCAATAATACCGTCGATTTCATTTCCTTGCCGCCATTTTGTCCTGGTTTTGTTGTGTTAAAATGCACTAACGTACTTACTGGAAACGTTCACCGTAATAATATATTTTTTGTGCGATCGCCACAGCTTTTGTTGTTCAGCGCACTACTATTGTTTTTCTGGCACTTCGAGTGCTATTGAAATTGTTTTGTTAAAATGTCTTATAATATTTAAGAATGATATACTGTTTCAAATAATATTTGTAAAGACAAGTTTGCTTTTCAATTCATTTGATGAATTGTTAACTGTTTCTGCTATTGGGAAAACGTACTAACATAGAGTTGTTTGTTGTTTTTTTAAATTATCAAACTTAGCATAACATAACATCACGCCTTTTATCCCCGAAGGGGAAGGCAGAGGTGCACACAGAAGTAACACCCACTTTTAACTATTTATGTTAAGAGTCCCATGTAATAGAGGGTGAGCCTATTACCATATATCGGGCACAATTCCAGACTCCGTCCTACTACTGAGATTTTTTTAAAACCCAGTAATACTTTGCCCGACCCGGAAATCGAACCCGAGACCCCTTGCCCGGCAGTAGCACTTGCGACCACTCGGCCAACGAAGCAGTCAATTCCTAATACTTACCAACTACTATAAATAAATAAACTTACTTTATTTATGAAGTAGGTATGAAAAGACTGATGACTGTTGATGAAGCGGAAGATGTTGATATTTATTTAGTTTAGTTTGAGTATCGAAACCATCACTGCAATCAGACTAGCAACAACCCTTGCCCGGCACTCGCACTTGGGACCACTCGGCCAACGAGGCCTATGAATTTAAAAACAAATATGGTTCTGAATTTCATTTGAGATACGTAACTGATATTGTATGCTTTTACTATTAATGTTATAAATAAACTAAGAATTGTGAAATCATGATATTCAACAGCAGGATCAAAGGAATTCGTTTTAATTAATTTGTGCAACGATCAAAACCGAAAATCATCATCACAATAGATATAAAACCTCCATTCATCGAGCAACTATTCGATTCTGAATCACTCGAATCTGGGAATCGTTTACAATGTATTGAATTCGATTAAAATTCCTTTAGTTGTCAAAAATTGAAGCTTGGAGTATTGGAATGATTAATTGGTTGAAAGTTGTTGAGTAAGCGAGTGATCAGGTAAGGTCTGTGGGCAACCCATTAGCATTGTGGGGTGATTGTGAGCTCACCAGGCTTGTGTTTGAAGGTAAATGATGACGAGGCGTGTTTCAATGCGTGGTGGTGCGACACAGCTTGCTACTTAACGAGGACTGTTTAATTAGCCATGAAAAGCTGGAGTTTGAGTGAATGATAAGGTTTCGCGTTACAATTTTCTATTTTTTTCGGGATATTTTGAAGATTTTGATAATCAGTCTTAGTGCAGGTTCTTGTTACTTATTTACATTGATGATAATATCTTAACTGCATTGGTTACGTTCCAAACATTTGTCTCTCAAAAACTAAAAGGAAATACTTAAAGACAAAAATAATATAAAAACCTGCTCAAACATTTAAACATCCTTCTCAATCCAACCACTGCCGTCGCTCAGCAGACGTATCTAATACCCTACGTACAATCCGTATAAAAAATGAAAATCAGAAAGCATTCCTATTAAATCAATAGTTCATAAGTTTCACACGTATTGAGGACCGTATAACCGGCTTCCCGGGTGATCTAACACTTGTTTTATTTGTGAACATTTTTCACGGTATCACCGGCCATTGTGCACGGTGCTTTTTTTTCTTTAGACGTATTTTTTTTCGTTCAAAAAGTTTTTATGCGCTTGCCGGCCAGTGCTAATCGCCTCGACTTGTGTCGACATGAAGCGACACGTCTCACGCGATTCAAATGTATTATATTATATGGGAAACGTTTAATTTGATTAGAATTTATTGGGGTATTTGGGGTGCTCGGAAAAGAGGTTGGGCGGTCCAGAACTAAAATGTTGATTTGAAGATACCAAAATAAAGTTGACATTTAAGTTTAAAGTTGATGTTTGCCATGAATTGTGTTTAAATGAGTCACGTTCTTTATTTTAGTCGCGTAACTTGGAATCATAACTTCAGGTAAGGTTTAATGTTCTGATACTTGATGGTTTGTGTTCAAAAATATTGTCACAAACCAACTTTAAGAATTAACTTCTACTCTTTACTAACGTAACGTAACGTAACGTAAACGTAACCGTTTAACTACAAAACAAACATTACATTTACAAAATAACATTACTCCATTCAATACAGAATTACATTACGCAGTAATTGTGAACGTGAAGTCATTCACAAAGAATGCTGAATACATCTAAGGATGCGCCGGCGCACTTACATACAAAAGACATAAACGCACTCGAGATGCCTCCGTCTGCGCCCCGAGCTGCAATGGCTGAAGAATCGATATAATTTCCTGTCTTTTATTATTTATACCATAAAAGCCTTCGCCGCCAAAGTGGTCGTATATTGTATATGATAAATACAATAAAGTTTAGAATGTGGCGCCTTCCGTTAGGGTACAATAGTTTTTTCAGCGCGAAATATTTGTCAATAATAAATGAGATGTCCCTTTTATTACCAGTAACAGTCAGCCGGTGCGGACTGTAGTCTGGGCCCACATAAATATACACACCGGGGGTGCAAGTCATAAGATATTACTTCTATTAGTCATTTCAATTAATGTAAAGGAAAATTTATTTTAGCCTTTCCACGTTTCTACTTAGTTTAAGTCCAACACATGAAAGTATTGTCCTTAACAAAAAGGTTGTGTTCACAATATTATTCTTCAGAATTAATGATTATCATCTATGACGTAACTTACCTTGCTACACGCTGCCTGAAATGTGAGCAACGACTCGTAGTTCATTGCTACGGGGCTACGAAACTATAAATCAACAAAATAAAATATCGATAATCTGTCAATTTGAACACCAACTTCAATTAAATTACATATCATCGACAATACATATCATGAACTTACAAGGTTAACCTAATATATTTTGGTAGTAGGATAATAAAAAATCGTAAGCTACGTTTATTGATTTCAGCTCTGAAACAAACATAATAGATTTCGTATGCATAACATGTTAGTACTTCATTTATCGCAAGGCGAACTATTTCTAAGCACAACGTAATCCGCTACAGCCTATGCTTTACTCGGCCCGTTCACCGGTCGCACAGCAACAATAGTGGCGCGGCGGGCGGCGAGCGACGCGAGCAAAGAGCCTCAATGAACAGTCTACCTGGATTATCTATCGGTGATAAATTAAAAATATGCCATCGCCACGCATTCATCATCGGAATGGGTCAGTTTCGACGCTGCACCATTGTCTAATACTACAAAAAAGGTTAAAAGATGAGGCGCGGAGTGTTGCTCTATGATTTCTGTATGCAGCACTGGTCGCTCCTCTCATCCTTGACATTGGAAATTGTACCTTTAGGAACATTTAATTATCGTGTTCGGTATTCGTAGCATGTCTGGCTCATTATGTAACTCATATCTCAGGACATTAGGTGAGCTATGCAGATGAAAGATAAACTATTTATGATGCAGCTATAAATTCTACCGTTCCACAGTTGTTAACTTGATTATTTTGATGAAATAAAATTTAATTACATTGCTGTATCTCGTGTTTTCTTGAGTTCATGGTTAATTTGTCAATTGTTTTATATTAATTGTGAGAAAAACTCAACGACTCTCGGGCTGAGAGGGTTTCGTTGAGATATTAAATTAATTAATTCAAAGTTCCTTGCCTTACTATTATACTATTATGGGTTTATGTTAATCTCTTGGTTGATTACTAAGGATAATATGATAATGTGTGTTAAAATATTCTCTTGTGTTGTAGTATTTTCGGAACAAGTTCGTCGAACACGCGTGTAGCGTGTAGGTCGACTACTGTCACTGCACTCGGCTGACATCTCAATCGGAGACAATGCGAGTTGTTGTTCAGTTATTTATTTAGTGGCGGAGTGCGGAGTGTGGTGTGTGGTGTGCTGGTCGTGAGCCAGTGAGCATTATGGTGGCCGTCATGTCTGGCAGCGGATGAGCGACTGGTGGCCGGCGACGCTCGATATGAGTGCGCGCGCACCGCCGCAGAGCCCGCGACACCACGCTACTCGTCCAACTGTCTGAGTGCTACAACAACAGGCAAAAACTATTTCTTACTACACTTTACAGCCATATATAAAAAGCTCATAATCACAGACACATTCGATTCGATGATTCGGATTTAAATTCGACAATTCGCAACGCTCGAAGCATTTCAACAAATTTACGAATTGGCAACTTTTTACGAATTTTTCACGGACCATGCATGACGTCATTTAGATAATTATCCGATCGCTAAATTGATACCAGTTACGGAATTCAGAAAGTTTTATTTGAGTTGTAATAAAAGTTGTGTCGCGCTTGGCTCGGCGGGCGCGAGCCGTCAGTCCGGGAAGGCGCACCGATGAGGGAGCACGCGTCGCGCTCTCCGGTCGACACGACGAACGCGCGCTCGCGAGTGTCTACCACTACTGTCGAGTTTATTTGAGAACTTTGTTTTATTTTAATTAGTGGCTTGTGAACATGAGGTGTTTAGTGGTGTTGTTGTTGTTGGCGGGCTGTGCGAGCCAGTCGGCCTCCGCCGGCGTGCCCTGCGCCCTGTCCCTGGAGTTCTTCGGCAGGCACAACGTAACAGCTGATGATAACGATGTACCAGGTGCGGTTATATAAACATTCCCAGCCTTCAGGGAGACCGAATCACCGACATTGATGGAAAGCTCTCAGATTGCGAACTTTTCCACGAACGGATAAGTTTCGTGTGAAGAAGTTTTTAACTCTGGATTTTTCTTTTAATAATTACGCTACAGTTATTTTAATTTCGGTAACTTACATCAGAATTTAGAGAAGTTGCGAAATGTGTGTAAAGTTATAGAGTTGACTACACTTACAAACTACATTATGTAGTTAGTTACATGTTTATTGTAGAGTTCAGTTGCACCGAGGTCGGCGCGGTGTATGGCTATATGCAATGCAATGATATGCACAGTGCGCTATGTATTGTATGCAATGACATGTACAGAGCACGGTATGTGTTATACATGGCCCTCCAGTGGTAGACCACGGCTCCCTGTGGAGTCGTTTGCTTGCGTTTTGCAAGCAACGGAAAATCCAGTTTCATCCCTCTCTTTTGCTCTAAAGCTCTTTTCTCCATGATTACCTATTGCCATTCTATCTTTTACATATTCCGTTATATTCATATTTTACTTTTCCTCATAGTGCAGAACATTTCTGTATTACCTAGTACCACGGCGCGTGGTGGCTACTGCGTGGTACTTTATTTTCAAAGTCTACCAGTAAATGGTAATACACTGTGATGCACTGTTATTTTCTTTGAAATATATTCTCGTTGTAAAGTCCGTGTACTTATTACACGAGTGATTATCTTAAACACAGGCTTTCGCGTTTAACTTATGGTTTACAACCTGCGTTTTGGGGTTAGTTAAACTCCTTATTTTAATTAGTTGTTGGTATTTTTTTCACTGTTCGTTTTACGCCAACACGCCTGCCAGGCGTGGTGATTATAGGGAACTGTTTATGTCGATACAAGGTTCATAGTCTAATGGACTGTCAGGAGCCGTTGATGACGATGCTGATGATGACGATATTTTTGGTGTAAATAAATGGTGTTTAGTATTTAGTATTCTGTCTGTCAATAGATGTACCTAAGGCGTAACAAGTACGTAGGGCAGACTTAAAGCCATTTGGCATTTTCTCCCAGTCAACTGGGTCGATTTTTCAATCACTATTGAATTCATAACTGTAGAATGAAATTGATATTTGACAGTTTTCAGTATGAAAGTTTTTCTTCCGTTAAAATTTATCTGGCGTCAGAAAAATCGTCCCTAAATCTTAATCTATGTCAATTTATCACTAACACACCCGTTTATAAGGAAACCTAATTTAATTTTGACTGCCTGCGATTTAGGGATTTGATTCGATTCGTACAAAATTCGATTGAGAGGAAAATTACATTTCTTGGCCTAAGTGAGAATTTGGTCTAGTCGTTCAGATTCCTGCTTACTTCTTTTTTTTCTACAGATGTGTTGTTCAGTTACACCTCGATTCGTTTTCCTCAGTGCTGAGGGCCGCGACCACCCTTCTGCATCATTTCTGTCTCTGGAGGTGTGGAAAGCGTTATGGATAGCGGAATCAAACCTGGTGTGGATCTGATCCCATCAATGTATCGGGCAGTGATTACGAGCCCCTTTTCCATTCAGCTCAGTTACAGAAAGTCGATAGAGAAATATGAGAAGAAGATGACCAACTGTCATTCATACAAACAGAGACATTAGGACAATATGAGATTAATGATTATGACGATTTATGACGACATGGTTGAAACGTCGGACGGGCAACGTGTCGCGGGTTCGATTCGCGAATGGAGCAACTCTTTGTGTGATCCAGAAATTGTTGTTCCGGGTCTGGGTGTCGAGTGTATGTGAACTTGTATGTTTGTAAACGCAGCCATGACACAGGAGAGGATCTTAGAGTAGGGCAACGATTTCCTGATAACAAAAAAAAAAACTTCTTGTAATAGTGATCACTGATCATAGAACCCCGCAACTCGCAACACTGAAATATTTTTTATCACATTAAAAGTTGCCGATTTGAAATTATGAGATGTCTCCATAATCACAGAGTATCATTTAGTAATGGATTAGACAGTGATTGTGCTTACCGTCTCAAATATCAACAGATGACATCAATACTGTCTGGACGGTCGGGTGACCGTCGCACGCGCCGCTCAGCTGATCTAACGTGTCACCCTTAGATATTAAGTATTGTGATTCGATAATCAATGAGGGATTGTAGTAATATCTATAGGAATTATGTGTTATTATTGTAGTGAGTATAAAACAGAATAGCTTCGTGGTGACGGAAGAATACCTACGGACTTTGTTACCACTCTTTGTCTTTCTGAGTTTCCCGAAGAGCTGATTCTCTCTCTCTCTCACTCTCTCTCTTTCTCTGTTCCCTTCATCTTCATCGAGAGCTTTCTGAAGAACTTGGACTTTTTTAACTTCGATTTTTTATTCTGCCAGACGTGGATATAGCAAAGCTTCTTAATGTAAGCCTTCGCCTAAGTACATAGGTGGACTATCACGATTCAGTTGATGATGGACTTCCATTTGATTGCCTTGATCAAGTCCAGAAGAGTGGAAACTTGTCATTTCTTTCCTATTCTTCTGAAAATGACTACTGATTAGTTTCATTACGGGATACAGACAAAATAGTTTACCTAATCACACGAACCCTTAGCAACCGGTGTCGATTAGAATTTATTTACATAACTATGATAACAACTTGTTTATACTTACATAAAACATTCCCAGACGGACAGACAGACAGATAATGATTGACATGAATCATCCAGTTAAATAAGTGGCAACACTGACGCGATAGCCAAATTAAGTAAAAAGTTTTCAAATAAAAAGGTTGTGTTCCACCTGCTGTGTTATCTGTGGTTCCCGATAAAAATATCGTTACCGTCCTTTGACTCGTAAAAGTCGACATCAGTCTCCTTGTTTGTGACATTTTTGAATGCTTCGACCATAATATTAACGCTGGCAAACATTTGTTATCAACGGTTCGGAGGTCTTTTTATAACATAATGCGAGATCACGCTAGTTAGTCGAAGGACGAGAGAGCTACGGGGGTTTACGCGATCGCCAAAAATCGGTAAAATGAAGTGACCATCGTAGTACCTACTGATAATTTTTTTGAATAATCTGCGACTACCAAAATATTATTTACATTTGTCGTTTTTTTACTGTATCGGATGTGTGGTATTACTATGATCCCATGATTTAATCTATCTGTTTTGTCTATTCTATTTTAAGGCACATATTTTATTATGTAGGTATGTAATTAGAAATCACAGAATTCATAGAATTATATAAAAGAATTCTAAAAAATGTGCCACTTAATGTAACTAGAATGTAAATTGACTCCTATTGTTTAAAATTTACGACAATGTGGTCAAGTAAGCCTACTGTTACAGTTACGGTTGTAGAAAAGTGTATTATTTAAATAGCGATAATTAAGAGTCAGCTGTTCGCTATTCGACACCCGACCCTGAACCTCGACTGGTCGGTATGAATGGAACAATAACACTTATTATAATCACACAGTATGTACATTATTTTTGCGCTACATTACATAGAGTCGCATGACCCAACGCCACGGCGATTCATAATGAATTCCCTGGAGTGCGCTCCGCAATTCGTACACAATTTATTAGCCCACCACGTCGGTAAAAATAAAACGTATTTACCTTTTGCGGGCTAACGAACAGGGGCACGCGACGATTTTTGAATATCGAACGTATCGAGTACCGATTCACGGCATCGTAAAAGCTACTTAAGGGAAAGTCACGAAAAATTACGTGTCTGGGACGAACCGCTAGCGGCGCGGGGCGGGCGCGGGGTGAATGGCGGCGGGTAGGCTTTGTTGCTCGTGCTGGCATTCCTCGCCTGGGAACCGGGAACCTGCGCTCCCCGCGCCCCGCACCTGCCCGCACCCCCGCCTGCATTCCTGCCCTCTCTCACTTTCATTGTTCCCGTCGGCGCGGGAGGTCGCCGCTGCGTACAAATAATGAAACCAGTCGTTTTAGTGGGGACGACTTGTTGGCTCACTCCAATAAACACGTCTGACCTGTCCATAAATGACATTTAGGGATACACTTGTTAATTCCGTGGCGCTGCCTGCGCGACCCCGCTGCCGCTGCTATCACACTTGGAATTTCAAGTCACGGATGGTAATTTTTGTACCCAATTAACTAGCAACACTAATCATATGTTTGACAGTTAACGGTAACGTTTAGGATCGTTGCCCAGGGTAGTGGTGCAGGTGCGCGGGCGCATCCTAATGAAATCATCCCCAATAACAACAATAGAGGTGGGCATTATTATTGTAATTTATCAGAAGGGTCCGAGGCGTTAGTCATCGCTGTTGCGCCGAATTTTGATTCATTTCGGATGCTCGGAATGCCATTGTGGGCGCCGCCATTACCTGCGCGCAGGTACACCCACAGCCAGCCGCGAGGTGCAGCCTTACTTTTGTTTATACGTTTTGACAAACGTTTGTGAACTAAAAAGTGTTATTATCAACAAGGGTGGCACCCGGCTATTGTCTGCTATCTTTGGAACACTTGTTCCCCTTTGTCTTCGCAGAATTCGCTTCTGGAGCGAGACGTATCCGTATCATAACAGTCATTAACCGGAATATATTGAAGGAACATGTTAAATAACCTGGAATTACAGCGGAAGTTGCGTCTAATATCCGTTTATATTAAGGGGAGCTCTTATTGTTATTCATGGGGCATCTGATATTTATTTGATCTCGTGTATAATTAACGTGTTATAATATTTACAGAGATCATATAAAAAGAACTTGCTTAGTTAATAGCGTGATTACGAGCAATTAAAACGTTAACAGCTCTTTTATTGGACAACTGTCCGAGTGAATGGCAAGTGCTTAACATAAATATAAATAATATTTTGTTCATCCGCATTTATGATCGTAATTATTCTCTGAGCGTTTAAATATCAAAACAATGTTTTAGGTAAAAGTACTTAAATGTAATCCGATCAGTGAACTGTATTCGAACGATTTGGGATTATTGAATCCGGTACAGTTGTACGGGTTCACATCGAT